CTGCCTACAGTTGGCTTGGGCGTTGCTCCTGTCTCTCCTGGTTTGGACTCTCAGAACCATCTGCCCAGCAAAATTCCACTCCCCTGGATCAAGAAGATGTGGTACATATATACAATGGAATATTACTCAGCCATCAAGAAAGATAAACTTATGCCATTTGCAGCAACATGGATGGAGCTGGAAGGGATCATGCACAGAGAAATAAGCCAGAAAGAAAGAAAAAGAAAAATACCGGAAGGTCTCACTCATAGCAGGAATTTAGAAAACCTAAATAAGGGACCAGGAAAATGACTAATTATAATAAAGTAAAAATAAAAATCAACAGGCAACTATAAACCAGAGACACACTACGGGGGCATGGCAGAGAGAGGGGAGTAGGATCAAAACAAGGGGGTGGGAATTGTATGGGGACTATAACCAAGATGAAAATGCATACATTGTGCAAAAATGAAAAATGATGTAAAAATATATAAAATAAAATAAAATAAAAATACCCAGTCCCCACCCTCACCAGGTCTGGCCCCAGCAGTGGCCCTATCACAAAGTATGCAGGTTTATCCAGGTTCCAGATCCTTCTAAACCTGCTTTGTGCCACAGCAATATGATCCCTGATTTCTGACAGTAGAGCTTAAACTACAGCTGGTTTGTGCTCAAATCATGACCAGGCCACAGGAAAGATACCCTGAAAGAGATTGTCCTCTCACCTCACCTCTTGAGGATTCTAGTATAAGAGTTTTAGAGACCTTGAACCAGTTATTTGACCTCTGTGCCTTTAACTCCTTCATCTGCAAATGGGTAAAAATATAAGACCTACTTCACAGGTACCACTATTTGAAGACTTAACACTTGTCAAAGACTTTAAAAATCCTGACACTGTGGGAAATTTCTTTACTGTCACTAAGAGCAGTTCCCTCCTCCTGAATAAACTTAAGAGTCCCGGGAATTAATGCCTCTTTCTGTGTGTGTCTGACCTTGGAAAGCTCACCCAGCAGACTTTGCAAGCCTCAGGTTCCTTCCTCATATGTGAAGCGTGCACAATCCCACCAACTGGAAGTGGGAGGTGAGGAGAGACAGGAGAGAGTTTCTCTGTATCCTGGCATGTTGCAGGGCTCAATTCAGGGGTGTTTCCTTTCTCTGGCTTCACGCCTCCCTGCATACTTAGGAGAAGCCTCCTGTAGGCAAACAGAAGGTATAGCTTGTGGCTTGAGCAGAGAAGAGCTCTCAGGAGGTGAGTCCAGGAGGCCACGGAAAGAGCTTTCTGTAGTGTTTTCCTGTCCTAGGACTCTGCTCATTCCTGGGAGGATTTGGGGCATGGTCCTTTTCAGGGCCAAGTCCTTTCCAGCACTGTGAGGGTCAGAGGGACTCACAAGGAGAAAGGCAGACCTCCTTCAGTGTTCCACATCCTGCTGCTCCCAGGCTGGGCTGCCAGCCCAGGAGTCATTAGCAGGTGGCAGGGCCGAGCACGGGGCCATCAGTCAGAGGAGAATGTCTGCGGCAGTTCCTGGGTCGCAATGGTGCCCTGAGGAGCCTTTGGCAGTAATGATGATGGGTAGTTAAGCAAATGAACTGTTAATGACCAGGCAGAGGTGAGCTGCCTCCCAGACCAGCTGGAGCCCAGAGTTGGCAAAGAAGGGTGAGGCAGGAACAAGGAAAGAGTGGAGAGGAAAGAGACTCTATTTTCCTCGCTGAAATTAGTTTCCCCAGGGAGTGCTGGTTGGCCCTGGGGCAGCCCCTCCTTTCTCGGCTGAACCCCATCCCAGGCCTCAGCATCACTTCCAGGAATTACTGCCAAGAACCTCCTGGTCACCCGGCCAGGACCACCCTAACCCAACCCCATCTTTCTAGATCAGGCCTCAATCCCACATAACAAAGAGGAACCTTGTTGGAAGCCCACATCAGCAGGGAACAAACAGGAGGAATGCTAACCAGCCAGTTCCCTAGATCCTGGAGCTGGGATCCATTGATGTGGGAGATGAAAATCGTATTTGAAACCACACCATCTACTGATGGCATTCCTGCTAGGACAGCTCTGTACAGAGTGTTAGATACGTACCGGGCATGGATCTAAGTCCTTAATGTGCATTGTTTCATTTATTATCCACACTGCCCTTCAAGTAGAGATTGACACTCCCATTTTTGGAGGAGGAGGCTGAGGCTCAGAGAGAAAATGACATCCCCAGAGATCAGGATGTTAAAGAAGATGAGCCGAGAAAGAAATTAAGGACGTTAGGGATTTCAGTTTCATGACCCAAAGTACAACATAGGGTTAGTAAAGGACACCAGGGTGAACTGAGAACAGGTGGTGAAGAATCAAGGCTTTATGCTCTTCAGAGCCATAGACTTTGCTAAACAGACTCTCCCTTTTCCTCTTCCCACTGCACCCACTCAGAGCCATCTAGGTAGAAGAATGTTTGATCTGGTAAAAACCACACAGAAAATCCTGCAGCTCTGGCCTTAGAAGCTGCCACATCCTTACTGTGTGACCTCAGGCAAATTACTTAACTGCTCTGAACCTGTTTTCTCAGATGTAAAGGCAAATTTATGTTACAATTACTATGTAAGCAAGCAAACAAACAAAAGCAATCTGGGAATCTATGTGGTATCCGGCAAATCACTGTTCATTTGCTGGCTCAGACTCCTGCTGCAGGGTGAAAGGGATAAGGCCTTCAACCTCTGTGACCCCCTATTTTTTCATGCGCTTGACTGGAATAATGACTCCTACCTGAAAGGGCCATTACAAAGACTAGAGGTAAAAAAAATAAAACACTTGCACATAGTCAATAAAAATCATAACTCCAATTCATTTTTTTTATTAATGAGGTTGAGGTGGTTATGGTGCCTGAGTCCCATAGTTTGAAGTTCCCTTTACTGGCTTCTCTTTTTCTTTCATATTTGTAAACTTTTCCTGCACCTTCTCCAAGAAGGTTTCTCCTGTCACCTGCAGCATTGCATTTCTAAGTTCAAAATTTCTTTTAATCAGTTCATGACTAACTGTAGTTTATCTTGTATTGTCCACCAAGGCCTCATATGTTGATTAGCTAACACTCTACAACTCCATTCAGAGCCTTTCACTGGCTATGTGATTTGAACATACAACTTTCCTTCTGGAACATCAGTTCCCTCCTGGACAGATGGAGGTTTGGACTGGAGACAATCTCCAAAACACAGAATCTTCCAACACCTGAGCACAGCCTATCCCTGCCGCCTTCCAGCTACTGCTTCCACAATCCACTCTCCTCGATGAACTTACCCGCTTCCACATCTCAGGACCTATTTGACATCCTACTTTTGTCTCACAGTTTCCTCGTCTCCTCCAGGCAGAAGTGACCTTCCCTTGGAAATTTCACAATCTTTGGTCTTACCCACTGTCCCACGTAGCTCTTCCTAGGCTGCCGATAGCTGTCACCTCTGGGATAATAGGCATGTCTGGAGTGTCCCATGTCTTCCTGAGGTACCAACACTCTAAGGCTGCTCCAAAAGTGGCCCTTAATCTTGGGGTCCTGCTCTAGGCACTGCAGGGAGGCCCAAAGATGCACTCTGCAAGTCTTAACAAGGAGCTAACACATCTAAAACATCACTATTGCTAAAAAAAAAAAAAAAAAAAAAAAAAAAGGGACATATCCCTACATGGGGATCCCTGGGTATCACTTTCCCATGGATGAAACCCACGCACAGATACCCTCCATTTTCCTGCTCCCTGCTGTCCTTCCTATAGCAGGATTATCTTCACTTCCTCCTGTCTCTTTTGACACCTGTGCCAGTAGCTCTAGCACAGATCCGAGCTTATTCCCTGACTCCAGGAACTTTATTTTTCTTCCACTGTAACTGGCATCTGTTCAGGCGGATGAGTGAATATTTATTAGATCTCAGCAGGTTTTGGCCATTTTAATTGTTTTCTAGTGAATTGTGCCCATTGCAAAAACCAGACCTTATTGGCCATTTTTCAGGTCAGCTAAGTGAAAGGGGAGCTGCATAGAGAGGGGAGTTCAGGCAGGTCCAGGAAATTTTGGCTCCAGAAAGAAGTCATACCAAAGAAATATGAGTCCCGGGATGGCCATTTGTAGCTGATGGATTAAGAGATAAGCACCGGAGTTGTGAACAGGACACACAGAATCACTGGACCAACCATCTTCATAATTAGATGCAAGTGGCAAGCCTTTAGTGTATTTTTTTTTAACTTTAAAAGTGCATGGAGCAAAAGCTGTTGGAAATGGAAACTTATTTTTTGAAAAAAGGGTTGGGGAGAAGAAAGTGTTACTTATTCAATGCCAAATATATACTAAGACCTACACATACACTGGTGTCTTTTTTTTTTTTTTAATTTTTTGGCAGAGAAATGCTTTTTTCACATGATTAATTCCCTAGAAGCCCGCCATTCAAAAGAGAGAAAACAACTACTCTTACGGGATCTTGGGTGACCTACTTGAACCCCACCTACTCCTTTACCTCATTCCTCGCTCACCCCCACCAGATTATCCCATGAAATCTTTTTCAAAAATACTATCTCAGTCCTGACATCGACTATTCAATGGTGGAATTATTTTCCCATTTTACAGATGAGTTAAGTGAGGCTCAAAGAAGTGTAGTGGCTGGAATGTGGAGACAGTCAGACCCAGGACTCTGCTCTCCTCCATGAGACTCTACTTGCTTGAATGGGGGGCTGTGCTCACAGAGTCCAAAGGGAGGCTGCTGTCATCCTAGTGATAGGGAGCAGGGAGAAAAAGAGGAGCTGAAGTGCATGAGACATTGAGACCTGAAGGAGGATGGAGTGGGGGCAGGACAGGGAAGGAACAGGAGGGATCAGGGCCTGTTTGCTTTAGTCCAGATGATACTCCTTATCTTGGACCCTGCATTTCACTCTACCTCTCTTCATGTGAGAGAGTCCCCCTGGGGCTCACTCCTCTCCTCCTTACCTGACTGTCCCTCAGCCATCAGCGCAGTCCTGAACCAGTCCTCACAGTCAAAGAAGTTGATTCTGAACATTGGAACCTTGGCGAGGAGGCAGTTAACACAGCTGTTGATGGACTGTCATCCCGCAGTGAAGGTGATTTGATGTTCTCAAATGCCAATTTGTTGCTAGACATGTTGAATGTAATTAGGGCTGAGATCCAGATGGAAGTATCCAGCAGTCCAGCAGGGTGGGTGGGTGAGGACAGGGTCGGGTGAGATGTCTGATCTTGCTAATCTTCAAAGGCAGTGCTCACCATACTCGCCACGTAACCCTGATGTCCAGACCAGTGGGGTCTCCTGTGTGTGCAGTACCAGTCGACAATAAGTCAGCTCTCCAGGAAATGGCCAACAGCTCAATTCACTTTTAGTCATCAAGACAACCCTACCATTTTTCCTCTTTTCCTGGCACATGCAGAGGATTCTTCAGAGAGAAGAGAAATGAGAACAGTGATTAAGCACCAATACAACCACATCGTCGTATGGAGGTTTTTTTTTTTTGCTGGCAGACATAGTAAGCTGATCATTTCCAGCTCCTTCTGTTCCATTTGACAGTTGGGCATGATAAATGAGCAGAACCAGTTATGAATTTCCTGGGAAAACTTTTCATTCCACGACAAGAAGGACAGAGACGCTCCTTCTTTCTCTGACTCTTTTCCCTGATGACCAGATGGAAGAGGTGGTGGACGGCGTGGCAGCAACCCTACTGCAACCACAAAGGAAAAGAGAAAAGAATGGTGTAGACAATATCTATCATATCCAGAGTTGAATAGCTGACCAGCAGTTGCTTGGCTCCAGATATCTTTGTATGAGAAAATTCTCTATGTATTTAAATCACTAGAGTTAAATATTTTTGTCGCTCAAAATCAAAAAGCATTCCTGACACTGTGCAGGATTTTATTTGATCCTCATGGCAGGAAGAATGTCCACTGTGGGGCATGTCATGTGTAAATACCCAGAAAGTAAGTATCATTGTCCGTCTTCTAATACAGAAGTTAATGTTGGGAGAGGCTGACTATACAAAAATCACTCACCTTACAAGGGAAAGAATCAAGATTTAAGTTCAGACTTTTTACTTCATGCTCACAAGCCCATACTGAATGAACAAGAAGTTAAGACATTAGCTCTATTTGATATTACATATCCTAGCTATATTATATATAACTTCTTATACATATACTTACATTTATATAGATTCATTCACACATACAGTTATTTCCTATTTCTGTATCACACCCATGTCCTTTAATCCTATGGCCTAATTTTTATTTTTGAACCCACGGTGACAATATCCTCTTTATCTTGGGGCTGTGATGATTTATGTCATAGGCTAACATTACTCTCTGCTCACTCGATAAAAGTACAAATCATCCTGGAGAAAATACATGTAATTTGGACATACCATGCTTTCTAAATATTAAGAAAAAATGAACCCGAGTATGGGAGGCGAGATGTAAAGAGACCAGTGAGTCTGGAGCAGGAAGATGTGAGTCTTGGTCCGGGTCAGTCTGATGCTAACTTGCCTGAATGCTTTGACAACAAACCTGCAGCTTTGTTCTCCACCTACACAGGGGATGAGTGCCAGGTATATGGAGGAGAGGGAATTCTGTATGTGTTAGCAGGGAGGACCAGGTAGGGGAATAAGAGGAAATGTTAACTGATATCTAAGATGAATTATATGGATTTTAAAAAAAGATTTTTCTTTGTTTATGCATATAAGAACTAGGGTATAAGCCAGAGGTGCAGGGGGTGAGAGGATTCACTAGAGAGAGTGGGGAGCAGAACAGGTCGATCTACTGAAATACACTGCTGAAAGGAGCTCTGGATGAGACAGGAGAGGTTTGCTGTGCCATGTGGGTTAGCTCCCTGGCCTGGGATCAAACCCCAGTGTCTGGTGATAGCTTAATAGCACTGAAACTTTAACCCCTGTGCCACCAGGAAGGCCCTAATTTACATAGATTTATATAAATATATGAATTCATAAATTATGAATTCATAAATATATTCATATATATGGATATATAGTAATCCAGAAAACCCACCTTGACCCAAATTACAGATTATTTGATGGCTTTTCAACTGTGAAGAGGTGGGGATGCACCTACCTCTTGGGGAGGTTAATGGGGAAAGATACCAATTAACAGAGTGCCTGCACTCCAAGAGCTTCTTCTCAGCTGTCACGGTTACCACTTCCATGAGGCCTTTGGTGCGTGACCCAGCGATTTGAGCTGGCTGCTTGTTCCTGGAGTAGAAGCTTGCTCTCAGAAGCCACATCTTCATGACCCCATCCTGCAGGGCCTGCAGAGCAAGTGGCAGTGCAGGGCCAGTTTCTTGGAGGCTGCCATACCTGTCTTCTCTTTTTGTTTTTCTTCTCACAATATGTACAAATGCCCATGTACCACAGAGGCAAAATGGTGACCACAGTTATTTCCACAAAATGGTGACCACAGTTATTTCCACATTTCCTTTACCACTGCAGTTACTATGCTGCCATTACCATAAGGACCGTTACATGACTGTCATTGCCACTACCACTGTTACAGCATTGTTGGGGTGCAGAAGGAGGATCCCCACACCTGCACACTCTAAGTGGGTTCTGCCATCTGCTGCATAAAGAAAAAACATTCCCTGGTGGTCCAAGTGGTTAAGCACCGCACTATGAAGCAATCCGCAGCCTTGTAGCACGAGTTCGATCCCCGCCCAGCCAGGGAGCAACCCACATGGTGCAGCAGACCTTTCCTGTCTCACCCGCTGCTCCCCTCTGCAGTATACTTCCATCAATCTGCCTGTTCTATTCCCCGCTCTGTCTCTGGTGAATCCTCTCACCCTCCTCACCTCTGGCCTGTACCCCAGCTCTTGTATGCATAAATAAATAAATCTTTAAAAAAAAAAAAAAAGAAGAGAAAGCATTCTCTTGGGGTGAAAGTACTTCATTAGGATTTGTGTGCATAGAAAGAGAAAAAAGGATAACAGTTTTTCAATAAAACACCCAAAGTTACTCATCCCCTCATGGGTAAATGCCCAGCCGCCAAACAGGGTTGGCCTAAAGCAGGGCTGCTAAGGCCTGAAAACTTGCCACAAGTCCAAGGCATATTCAGGAGGGGAACCATAGGAAAGGGACAGAATGGGTCAAGCAAGTGTGGGATGAAAGGAACAAAATTAAAGTACAAATCAAGTGAAAGGCTGCCATTGTCACCTGGGTCTCTTCCAAGTGTTTCTAAATATCTTTGTTTCAGAGCAACCCCAATATAAAATGGGTTGCCTGACTTTGGGTCCTCACCTGTGCACTTAAAAGGGACTTATTAACACTCAACTGCAGGCACACACAAAAGGTTAATAAAAGGTTTATTTTCAAAAGAAAGGGAAAATGAAGAAATGAATTACTCAGGGAGAAAAAGAGGGAAATAAACTCATGAATGTGTCCTACCCCTTCTGCTGACCTGGAACCCCAATGGCACCCTGAGAGCTGGTGAAGAGCCAACAGCTATGAGGCTAAGAGCAAGACCCAAGGCCCACGTGTCTGGTTTTTATACCAAACCTGGTTTTTTAATCCCACCCTCAGGTCCCAGCGACTTTCCCTTGGTGGTGATGGGATTTGTCTTTCCCAGTATCTTGATGGCTTTGGTCTGGAGTGGGGGTGGAGTCCACAAACCTGTATGGAATTAGCTCAGGACATCCTTTCCCCCTAACATCTTGACTCCATGTATCTCCTTCCACATCCCTCAAGTCCCTGGTGCAAGTGCAAAGCCGAGAAGCAAACACGCCACTCTTCCTCACAAGTCTCTGCTCCACGTGCCTCCTCCAAGTCTTCTTGCCATAGCCTACTCATCATTCAGGCTCTGCCCTCCGTCAGTAGGTAGGGGAGGAAACATGGAACCTTCTCTTTTTGGGAAATTATACTGTGGAACAGAACTACTATTACCACTGCTGTTACTGCTACTGCTAGTTCTACTTCCCCACTACTATTACTCCCACCTCAGACCTCAGCCACGGGCAGGTCAGGGGACCATCCTCCCCGGGGCCGGGCTTCAGGTCTGATCTTGCCTGCATGGACAAATCACTTCTTCCCCAGACTTCACTTCTACCTTCCTTTGTCACTGAGCCACACTGAGAATGAGCCTCTCACAGAAGCTGCTTGATCCCGGATTACCCTTTTCTGAGATTCAAATGCTTGCTGGATTATCTGGCTAGATTGAGATGAGCATGCAGTGTTTCACTACATAGCCTCAGGCTCTTGGCTTCCCTTCCTCCATGGAGCTGCCAAAATAAATTCCCACCCACACATGTCCCAGGACTGTCTGGCTGCTTAAAGTAAAGGCATAACGGCAGAGAAGCTGAGTTGTTCCATAGCAACTTCTCTTCACTTTTCAAAGGGAGCTCCAGAGCTCTGCAATCAAGGCAGCCCTCAGCAACTGCCCCCACCTCAGAGCTGGGTTTATTTCTTTCCTTCCTTTCCTAACCGAAGGCTGAGAGCCAGTCATCACTTCCCTCTGGGAGAGTTCCTTCTCGGCGCTCATGGTCGCTTATTCATGTAGTCTGGCACTGTTCATTTGCCCTGCATTCAACAAATACTCACTAAGCAAACTTATTCATTAAGCAAACTCACTACTTGTATACTTGTTATGCTTGTACTTGCTCTGCTTAGGCATGGTGCTACATCACGAGGCGCAGTGGTAAATGACATGGAATAGTGTATGTAACCCTGCCCTTGGGCTATACTGCAGAGGTTACAAAGCAGCAGTCTGCTTCCTTCCTCCGTGAGGCCCTTCCTTGTTCCACAAATAAAGAATCAAGAAGAACAGCACCGTTTTCTTAACCCACAAGGGGGTTTCACATTTGAACATATTTAATATCTAGTGAAATTCCATATGGCAGACTCCAGGCTCTAGGCAATTTCATGCATGTTCAATAATTATTTATTAGCATCATCAGTATTATAAGGGGGAGATTTTTTTTGCCCCTGCTGTCCATTAAGACTAGGTGAGACAGGGCCTCCCTGGTGGCGCAAGGGGTTAAGCACCGCACTATGAAGAAATCCGCAGCCTCTGCAGCACGAGTTCGATCCCCAGCTGGCTGGGGAGAAACCCACATGGTGTGGCAAACCTCTCCTGTCTCGCCCACTGCTCCCCTCAGCAGTGTGTTTCAGTCAGTCTGCCTGTTGTGTTTCCCACTCTGTCTCTAGTGAGTCCTCTCAACCCCCTGCATCTCTGGCCTGTATCCCAGCTCCTGTATGCATAAATAAATAAATCTTAAAAAAAAAGATAAGGTGGAGACAATGGAATACCACTCAGTGATCAGAAAAGATAGACTCACTCTATTTGCTGCAACATGGATGGAGCTGGAAGGGATGGTGCTCAGTGAAATAAGCCAGAAGGAGAAACATAAGTAATGGATGGTGTCATAATAGGTGCAAGATAGCAAAGCTAAAGAGTCAAAGACAAACTTTAAAACTGACCTTGAGAGCTGACCATAACGCTGAAGGGGCCAGGGCAGTGGGTGAGAACAGATGAGGTGAGAGCTCAATGGACCATCAACCTAAAACATTGCGGCCTCTGAGTGCCAAGCATGGTATAAATATTTTCAATGCATCCATGAATTTATTTTTTTTATTTTTCATTTTAAAGATTTATTTATTTATACATACAAGAGCTGGGGTGGAGACCAGAGGTGCAGGAGGGTGAGAGCAGTCACCAGAGACAGAGTGGGGAGCAGAGCAGGCAGATCCACTGATATACACTGCTGAGGGGAGCAGCGGGTGAGACAGGGGAGGTCTGCTATGCCATGTGGGTCACCTCCCTAGCCGGGGATCGAACTCGTGCTGCGGTGGCTGTGGATAGCTTCATAGTGCTGAGACTGAACTCACCCTTGTGCCACCAAGGAGGCCCTGCATCCATAAATTTAAATATCACAATAACTCAGTCAATTAGAAATCATCATCTTCTATTTGAAGATTAAACAATGAGGTGAGCGTTACAAAACCAGAAGTGACAGCATTGAGCTCTAGCCTGAGATAAGCTGACTTCAAGGTTTCTACTTCCACTCTCGATCTGTTCTCCATCCAGAGATGCATGCATGATTCTGCAGCCACATCCTCAGCCATTGTTCCTTAACCACTGGCATCCGGAGCAGGTTCGCAAGACGTGTAGCACTGGCCGCCAAGCCTGACCCTGGTATGGCTGGGAATCACTCTACACCTCTTTGCCAGGAACATTCCAGATCCAGGACAAGGTAAGTATGAATGTTAGGCTGAAGAAGTGACAGCCTGTGACAAAAATGGGAGGATAGTAGATCCCTGACAGAGAGCAGAACCCTCTGAGCTGAGCCCCAGATCCTGAAGCTCAGAGCAGCCTGCACATCTAGCAGCAGCAGTGTTGGAGCTGAAGTGCATGCCAGCCGCAATCAGGATGAGCTCAAAAGCCTGCCCTCCCAGGTCAGGAAGATGGAATAGAGTCACCTGGGCCAGATCCCTTTAGACACACCCTCCTCTTCACAAACACCGCCCACCTCAGGTTCACCTCAGCCCTGCCAACCACAAATATGATGTTTCTAGACAGGACCTAGCTGCTCAAGCCCCCAACCCCCTCATTCCTGACAATAGATTGCTATGTGTGATGGGTGACCCGCGACTCTGGCCAAGTCTGCAATGCCTGTCCTCTTCACCTGCAAGATTCTGCATATCTTTCATGGTCTCTCTCAGCAGTCACCCCCAATTCTCCCCCCACTACCACCCCACCCCCACCGTGACTACCTCTCTGCCAGGATGCTAGCACTTTGGCATTCTTAGCGCAACTGTCAAGCTTTTTTACTACTTTGCAAGGTTTTATCCTCTCCCAGACTAAGTTTGTGGAGAATGAGGGACTTCATTTGTTCATATTTGCAGCCCCCATAGCACCTTGGCCAATGCCTGCCCCATGGTAGGGGCTCAGTAAATGCAAAAGGAGAGAGGAAGGGGAGAAGAGAAAAGAGAATGGAAGGGAGCGAGGGCAGCAGGGAGGAATGAGAGGAAGTGAGACTTTGGGTTGGATGCCAACCTCTGACCTTTCCTAGCCCATTTCTTATATAAACATCACTTTCCAATGCAAAGTCTAGTCTTGACCTTGTGCTCCTTTCCACAGATTTAGAGAGGAAGTCAGTCTCTCAGAACTTCTTGCCAACCAGGGAGCTGAAGGAAGCCGCTGGATCAAAATAAGGGAGGCAGCTGTTGTAAGAAAAGGACACGCACTTGTCAGTCCCAAGACACATACCCGGTGGCTGGATCTGTCTTGTGAAGCTCTGTGCCTCAGTGGCTCTCTATGAAGGGGGATACTGGTATCACCCCCCCAGCCAGTCTCGTGGGGTGTAAATACAGCTTGTTAGTGTTTTGTGGATGGGAACACGCCCTGCAGATGTTATTCCTTGGTGCCATTAGCATGTCTGCACAGCCCCTTGCCCTCCAGGTTTTCTAGCCTCCCAGCTCTGACCTTGGGGCAAAGGTCATTCTCCCTCAGAGGCTGCCTAGCAGTGGGGTCACCACCAGCCCTCTTCAGCACCTCTATTTAAATGGGTACCCAGGGTGGCCTCCAATGAGGGAAGCCAACCCACGCAGGACACGTCTTGTGGAGTGTCTGGAAATCATCTCAGCCGACCAAGGAGAAGGCAGGAGGGAGAAGAAGGAGGAGACGCAGCCACAGCAAAATGCTCCAGGGAGGAGAGCCGCTCTAGAAGGGTTCTTTCTGAGCTCCACAGAGGCCTCGCCACTGAGGAAAATGCCGAAAAAATGCCGGCTAATTTCAGAGGCTCCACGTTGGTGGGCCAACAGCCCAGGGAGAATGAGCAATTATGATTTCCATCTAAGCAACATATGCTGTTTGCTGGCCTCTTTCGAACAGCTGTAGGTTAGATGCTGTTAAGATTAGTCTCCTTCTCTCCTCCATATTTCAGAATTCAAATTAAACTAAAATAACAGCACCTGCTGAACAAAAACCCCATTGGAAATGTGTCCTCGTACACAATTACTGCAGGGAGGCTGGTCACCATTGTTACCCGCCTATTCTTCCTGAATGGGAACGCAGCGAAGTTTCCCAGGCAGCTGCAGCAATTCAATTGTATAACTGGAGCTGGCCCCGCGCCAACCCTCAAGAACTCAAGTGGCACCAAAAGATACTATATTGATTTGCAATCGAACATAATAGGCCATCAGCTTAATTATTACTGAAGTGACAAGGTTCTGGGTATTTCATATTTATATTTCAGGGCCTGTGAAGGATGAATGTAAATCTTTTAAATGCACGGATTTGCATATCTTCAGAAGGGTTGAGTGCTCTTATTACATTCATAGCCTTTGAAAGACCAAAAGGACTGGCTATTGAACTCAGGTTGCCAGATCCCACCGGCATTTGCTTGGATGAAGAGACAAAAGGCATAAAATGGAAATTGCTTTTAGTCCAAAAAGAAAAAAAAAAAGCCAAACAAACAAACAACAAAAAATGAAGCCCACTACTCAACTGCATCGTGCTCTCAAGCTCGGACCCTTTGGGAGCCCTTGAAGGGAGATTGGCTATAGGCCTTCATGGGTCAGAGGCATTTGGTTATTGAGAAATGAAACTAATGACTTCTTGGAACATGAGACCCCTGTGCTCTCTCCCCAATCTCTTCCTGTCTCCTGCAGGTCAGTAGAACCTGATGAGCTGCGAAGATGTGAGCAAGGGAGGCACAGAAGAGACAGGAGCTTGATCTTTCAGTGTCTACTACGCACCCGCACCATACTGAGACCGGCGTTGCAAAGAGAAATGGCCTCACTGGAACCCCACCAACCCTCCTTCTCACACATAGCTTCTAATAAGAACTCTTCCAGGCCCTAGGTCAGGGAGGGCCAGGAATGTTGGATATTTTAGAACTGTCCCAAATTTCTTCCTTTCTTCACCTCTGGACACATTAAGTCATTGAATTGTATAGATTCTTGCTCCTAAGTCTCCCTTGATTTTTGTTCTCTATCCCTGTTCAGTCCTACCAGCTCTGCTTTCTATAGGGTCTCATCATAAAGCCTGGACTTATGAGATTGTGTCTTTCCATCTTCCTGTCTCAGTCTTACTGAATCACAGTCCATTTCCGCCCCGCCATGAGAGGACCTTACTGAAAATGGGTGGGGGGGGAGCAGTGGGAAGGTGGTTCTACTGCTTAAATCCCTTCTCTAGAATCCACAGGACAAAGTTCAGCTCTCTTCTCAGCCAGGCTTTAACCTTCATGGCCATCACTTATTCCATATGTATATGCACCCTGCTCTTTGCCTCTATTCCTCCATCTACATGTTCACGGAGCGACAAGAATCACCTTCCAAAACTCACTTGAAAGCATTTCACCCTGTCTTGTATCTTACCTAGGCCTCTACTCAGTGAGCCCATTTCACTCTGTGTATCTATATGCTGTAAAACATATCACATCGTGCCGCACTTGTTTACATGCCTGCTGCCTCTACTAGGAGGGTCTCAGTCAAAAAACTGCGCTTTAAATCACTTTATCCCTGGGACCTAGGTCAGGGCCTGGAATGGCAGAAGTGCTCAGCCACTGTCGGTTGACGCTTCATCCCCAGGGAACATCAAACGTGTATGGAACACGTTGTGTATGTGAGATATTATTCAAATAAACATAAAAAAGTCCTTGTATCGGAACCCAAGGTCTAAGGCCAGGACTGCTCTTAGCATACACATCTATGCTCACAAACACAGGGATGGTTTAGATATCAAGTGTTCTCCAAACCCAGAGATACAGGAGATTTGTAGCCTAGTGTATGTGAGAAAACAGGACTAGGACTAAAGCTGAGCTCCTAGCATGTGAGAAGCAGAGGTCTATTTGAATTCACCATCTCTCATGCCTATATTTTATAGGTGAGCAAATTGAGAACCAAGAAGGCAAGATTTCTAAGTTTATCAGAGTCTAGTAATTCTGACTCCCCAAGCCAGCTTCCTCTCCATCGTGCCTTAGCAGGTGGGTCGAACTTGATAAGACAAGGAACGGATGACTATTCCAGAAGATGGCACTCACTGAGCCCAATGTCCTCAGCGATGTCGATCTTGCCACCCATCACCCTCATTCCCAGGGCCACTTTTGTCACCTCCAAGATAGCAGCTCCACTCCTGCTGTCCTCCCACCACCACAGATCACAGCACAGAGACCCTTGGGTCAAGGAGAAATGGAAAGAGAAGCTGCTTTGTTCTAGTTTCCATCATCTCTACCACTTTCCCCCTGCTCTGCTCTAGGCCATCTTTCTGTACCACCTCAAAAACTGTCCTTCCACATCCTGGACTCTGCCGCAGCCAAGGAGGCTTTATGAAAAACCCCCACTCCAGGAAGCATTTTTATTCCCTTGAATTGAAAAGCTATTTCTAAGGGAGCTAGCCCAAAGGGGAGGCAGGAATGAAAAAAGAAAGCAGAGACCAAAAGTGAAAGCACAATTTGGGAAACCAGTCTCTCCACAGAGGTAATGAGGCAACAGGAGTTAAGATCTAATCATCCCTGAAGGGGAGAGGAGTGGCTCAGGGACTCTGAAGAGGGAGACAAGCATCTTTACCTGGATCAGGAAACCAGGTGTTCTCCAGGACTCGGTGGCACCCCTCTCTCCCTGACGCGGTCTGGCCGGCCTTGCTACTTCTGACCTCCGCATTTTGGGAAGGGACTAGGACCTCTCTCAGAATCACCCCAAAGAGAAATCCCGGACTGGCAGACTTAGTCCCTGGAGTCCTCGGCAGCAGCATCTCATGGCCGCTCCTGCCAGACAGAGCACAAAGCCAGGCATTACCCCGCGAGGCGCAGGAGCCGCGCAGGACCACCTGCTCAGGCAATTCCGCGATAAAAGGAAGTGAGGCTGGAAATTGGACAATTGTCACTAAGTAGCTGAGGACCCAGCTGAGTGGGGTTTTCTTTAATAAGGATGATAGAAGCCAGCTTTAAAGGCAGATGGAGAATTTTCAGCATCCAGGATTTTATCGAGAAGAGCAGGAACGGAAGGAGGCTGAGAATGGGACCTGTCTTCCAAGCCTCAGGAAGAAGAAGGGGGTGAAGGCCTTTTCCTATGGACTTCAGGACTATTCCCCATGGCTCAGTATCATTTCCTGTCCTCTAATCAAAGGCATCACCTTTGTGAGCCGCTGGAAGGAGACAGTGATCCCTAGACTTAGTGAGGGGTGTCAAGGAATTAGCTGCAAAGAACAGACTCACTCACTTCTTTCTTCCACTGCTCTCTGGGCTGGTAGATTGTGGAGATATAGGAGAGCAAGTCTGTTGCCTGCAGCAAAGCATTTGGCTAAGTATTTCTTTTTATTACCTTGGAAGATATGGATAACAAGGTAATTAGGTGGATTTAGCACCATGTTTGCACCAGTACTAACGCATACTAATAGCAGCTATTGAGCTAAGTACCAAACTGGGTTTTCCATACCTCATGACACCGAATTACCTCATTGCCCTTTAACAGATGAGAACAGTGGGGCTCAGAGAGGTTTGGCGAATGCAGGGCAGCCCAGGTGGATCTGAGCCACCTGATCTGTAGTTCAGTTAACTCTTGCACCACACAGGTGTGAACTGTGGGTGTCCAATTACACATGGATTTCTTTTTTTCAATAACTACAGTTGACCTTCCTTCTTCATGGGTTCCACATTCACAGATTCAGCCAACCAAGGATGCTGGTTGAATCCATTCCCATGCACATAGAGGGTCAACTCCAGGAACTAGCGCATCCTGAGACTCTGACATCCATAAGGGCTCTGATACCAGTCCTCCCAGACACCAAGGGACACCTGTACTTGTCTCCCTGCTAGATGGCAGCTGACCACACGTGCCCACCATGCATGCCCTCTGCCTGCCAGTGAACAGACACAGAAAACACCCATTGTCATGACCACACGTGTCCCACCTCCCATCAATCCTGTGGGTGTGTGCCCACACCTTCAGGTGCAAACATGCTTCCACACTATACAACCACCTACAGAGCCTCTTGTCTGTTTCCACTCATCTCCATCTGATGGCTAGAGCTCCTCTCGCTCTACTGCTAAAGGTGGGGCATTTCTCTCATAACTCAGAAGAAGACTGCATATTTGGGGATAACACTGCAGTCCAGTGGGCTGAGCTGATCCCAAGGGGTAGCTGGGATAACTGAAGATGAAGGAAAAGCCTTAACACCATAGGCTCTGCCACCCTGACAGAGGCTCAAAGCCTGTCCGCCCCTCCCCCAGGCTGCCTCCAAGGGGCACAGGACAAATGAGGCCAAAAGACCCTGAGGGATCTGGGTGTGCATGCAGATGCTGGCCCTGCATTAGCAGTGTGACCGCGCTTTTCCAACTCCCAGGTCCCCTCTGTTAAGATGAGGATAGAAATTTTCTTCACTTAACATTGAGCCGCGGATCAGAAAATGCTGAGCGCAGAGTTGGTGGAGAGCGCTGTGCCTGACCAGCAGCCGGCCTCAACCTATTCTGCCACGTTCCCATGCTGCCACCTTCTGATACCAAAGCTATCTCAGTGGCAAGCTGCACAGCACCCTGTCAACAGTCCCCAGGGAAAAGGAGGTGGCAGGGATGGGGGTGGAGGGGTGGGGGTGGGGTTGAGACCCTCAGCTGCTCCTGGAGAAGCAGGGCTGACAAGGCGAGGATTGTTTTTCTCCCCTGGTGTGAAGCATGTTGACTTGCTGTTGATAGATGGTGGGATGATATTAATTAAAATGCAGGCAGGTGTGAGGGCGCCTCTTAGAGCTGCACTCTCCCTGGGGGGAGGGGACAGCATTCCCTCGGCTCAGGTCTGTAGCCATAGTCCCCTGTCCTTCCCTTCTAAAAGCAGGTGTGACTTGGAGGGGAGGGTCTGGGTTTTCCGGCACTGGAAGACTCAGTTGTGAGGAGTGCTGGGCTCCAGGTGGAAGTGCAGCCTCCTCTGTTCTGTGCTGATGTGTGGAGAGAGGCAGAGGCACAGCCTCTTATCATCTTGCCTGTATGCCTGGAGGACTGAATCAGCTCTGCCTCAGGAGAAGCTGCTCACGGGAGCACTCGCCTTTTCTGTCCTGCCAGCTCTGCCTCTGGTTCCTCAGGGCAGGACTGCGCTGCAAAGGACTTCCTGAGAGCGAGGAGTCTGAGGATGTGAGGCAGCGTGCACAGAGCAGTTAGGTACAGATAACACACACACAGCACGTGGGTGTATCCAGAGGTCCTGGAAAGTTGGGAGAATATAGGACAAGAGGCAAGGGCACAGCAGAACAAGGGAGCTGAGTGTGCAGTGTTTGCTCCACCACCATGAAGCACACTGTCGTGTGTATTCGTAGTGTAGTGATCCCGACTGCTCAAGATGGTCTACGTATTGTCACTGAAATGTAATTGAGATCCGAGTGACTTAAGTTATCAGATAAAATGCAACCACTTGTTATGAAGACACTGATAGACAAGTGAAAGGAAAAGACAGATAAAAATCTGGCGGTGCTGAGGTCCCTCCTAAATCAAAATTAACAGATGGTCCTGATCATATGTCTCTGAAAGGTGGTGTAAGTATAATTACTGAATTTAAGGCAATTAGAGATGCTTATGGATATCATACCTGTAGCCGGGAGCCTTCTCCATATTGCTGCAAGAGTCCCCAAGGATGCTTGCCCTGGGAAGGGCTGCTCACCTCTCTACAGATGGACTGATGGGGGAGTCTCTGGGCCAGGCCCTGCCCATTCTGTCACCAGTCCCGTGAACTTTGGCAAAAGATCTGTCGCCTCACTTTTTGCTGCCAATTGAGTTGTGTGCTTATATTACTGTGCTGTGGAGTCCCACCTACTAAATTCATGTTGTGTGGTTAGATGCATTTGACTTGAATGGGGAATGAGGCCTCCCCCCTTCAGGGAAATGAGCATTCTAGAGATGCCAAGCCTGATAAAACACTTGCCCAGCTCAGCTCTAAATCAGTGGGTTCTCACACCTGAGCCAAAGCAGACAGTGAGATGACACAGATAAGTTTCTAGATGATTTCCAGTGTCCTTCATCTTGTTTCTTCTCGCAAGAATAAGAGACTCCTGAGAATCAGAGGGCTAAGGGGATAGTATCAGAGATGCCA